CATCACCTGAACTTGTGGGTCAAGGAGTTTCTGTTTTAGTTTGAGGGCATTATTGCTTGTAAGAGTAGAAGGGGTCAGTGGCTTTAAAAAGAGTGTCTCTGTCTCAGAAATGTCAATGCCATTACCTGTTGTTCAATCAGTGAACTTTCATTGCTTTGAGTTTTAGAAGTTTTTCAAGTTTTGAAAGCCTCTAATTAGAAGAAGGAAGGCAAATGATTCACACTTTAATGTATTAGCAATTAATGCCTTATAGTTCATTTAATATTCTGAGGATTATTTGGCAGCCAATGAATAGGAATATTTTGTGAAAACTTGGAAATTAGGCACATGGGAGGTACCTAGATGAGGGACAATAATTGTATATATCTTTTGATATCTGTGAAATACAGTCAAAACTATTTAAGAAGTACTGGTTTATAACATTTTCCCGTGAAACATATTATAATTTTGAGATATTGTCTATATGTGATAATTGTCTGGTTTTAAGATGTTCGTTATTTATTAATATGTTTTAAATAATTAATGTCTGTAATAGTGTCTTAGAAGCTGCCCCCCCCCCCGCCATTTTTAACTAGTTTGGATATGTAAGAGGAAATCCAGATATGCTGTTCCCTTCAATTGAATCAAATAATTATGGGAAACCAAAGTGTTGAGTGAATACCTGTTTTTAGAAATAGTATCTGTAATTCAGTTCCTGCTTGCTGGTTTTTCTATGTCCATTGGATTTGTCAGCTGTAGTCAAGAAGTATATTATTTTAAATTGGTTACCTAAATCCATTGTGATTTTTTTCTTGTTCCTACTTGGACATGCCCCAAGATTTCCTGGACTGAAGGGAGTTAAAGAGTTAAAATGTGAACAAGTTGATATAATAAAAGATAAGTAAGTAAAAAAGAGAAGAATATTAAAACCATATATTAAATATTATCTGGGAAATTTCATTATTGAATTTCCACAATTTTCCATTACCTCAGATGACTCAAAATAAAGGAAATAAAGAGACCTCATAGTAAAACTGAGACAGGATTTTTTTTGTTCAGTACTGGATTTGCTAAAATTTTGACAACAATATTTTTCCAGAAAAAGATCAGTGTTTTCATATGTTGTTCCTAATTTCTAATGACAACCTAACAATCAGAGCTTCAAAGAGTTGTATTTATTTCTTGTTCACATAAGGCTATTTTCTGATTCATTGAATTCAACATTTCTATTGTGTTCCAACTACGTAAAAGGCACAGTGCTAAATATTGGTTGGGTAATGGCATTCAAAGCCTTTTATCTCTAATAGCAAATAATTTCCATGAAAAGGATAAATTTTTCTGTGCATTGTACTTTTATTAGATTGTGTAATCTATTTTTTTTTCTTCCATTTAGTTTCTCATCTAACTGTTCAGCATTCTCAGCTAGAATAGCAGAGTGTCTGTTGATGGCTATCTCTGTGTATTCACTGTTTTTCTTGGTTTACTATATTCTAGAAATAAACGTGTGTTTAATTTACTATCGTCTACATTCTGTCCCTACAGATTATTTTGTCCAATGCTTTCTCCAGCTTAATTTAAATGATTCCTAAAATATGGCTTTGATCAGAGCCCTTAGAAGAGAAATATGTGCCATGTTATGGCCCATGTATCTTACAAATAGAAAAGACTTCTGGATGGGCAATTTGGAGTTTTCTTGGTTCAGATTTCTTTTACTGCTTCAGAACGTATCGTCTTACTCATCTTGAACAGTCATTTTCCTTCTGGGCAACAAATATATTTCAAATATTTCATCCTAATCGTATCTTCTTGAAGGGAAGCTTTCTTAATTTAGACTTTAACCTTTCCTATCATCATCAATACTATATCTTATTTTATTGTTTTTCTCTGAATACCTTCATCTGTGCAGATGCCTTCCTGATAATGAACTGGACTGGAACTCCAGCTAGATGTTCTGTTAAATGTGCACAACTTCTCTCTTGACCTCTTTCATCCATTTTCTTTTGCAAATGTATTTTGTGACGGAGAGAGAATATCCTGGAGAAGTTCCAGTTAGCATCATCTTCTAAGAACCATGTACTTTTTTAAGCCCAAGATTCTGTGTGTGATACCCTACCATAAAACAAACTCAAAACATGATCTCTTTATCTTGGAACTCTCAATTCAAATCTGCTGCTATCAAAATTAATTGGATTCTCTCTTGCTGAAGTACTTTTCTTCAATAATAACATTCTAGTCAAATTGCATACCAACTGCCTGATTATGTCTTCCATGATGAATTACTTTGTAAAGACATCTGTGGATTATTCTTTTGGAGTGTACAAATTATTTCATCTGACTTTTCTCAATCCTTTGCACTAAGAAGTTAGATGAAAACATTTGTTTTTCAACAAACAAACAAAATTTGAAACCAACCCTATATCTCTCTGGTCAGAATAAAATTATAACCATGACTTTAATAACGGTGTCTCTTGACTGAAATCTTGCAGTCATTTCATATCTTATCTTGAAGAGCTAACTCATCCATTTATGTGATGCCATAGGAAGTATGCATCAAATCCATAATTGCAGTAAGACTTAATTTTCATAAACATTGTCAAGAGACTAGATCCTAAAAAGTGTTGGAAATTATCTGATCCTGACATTGTATTCTACATCAAAGAAAGTTTTCTTATTTTAACCAATGTCATAACTACAGACATTATCGCAATCAATCATACTAAATTCACCTAAAAAGTCAGCACAGTTCACCACTTTGCATCCTTTTGATGCAGCCTAGTTTTGCATTGGGTTCCTGAAGTCATGCTCCATTTCCAAATAAACAATAGATAATTAATAAGAAATACCAATAGATTATAATCTAAATCCAGTTTGTTTTATTCTAATATTTAAGAAGTGTTTAACTTTATTTTTATTCTAATATCTTAATGTTGGCAGAAGTGTACCTTCTTTGTTGAGTAGTAAAAATCTTAAGGTGTTTATTTGAAGAATGGACAATTGCATCATTAATCTTAAAATAATGACCTTTAAATTTTGTATGAAAGGCGAGATGGTGCAAATAAGTTTCTAGTACGTAATAATTTTTTTTTTTTGGAAACTGGCAAATAATGGTAAATGAATATCACATTCCCTACAATGGGAAAATCAGGCGATGCCTAATTTCTAAAACCAAATGGGATTGTTATAAAGCATAAAAAAGCAAGGATAAGCCAACTAGTCAATGATCCAATATGTAAAAATTGGAAGAAAATAAGACTTCATAGAGCCGTTAATTTTGAAATCTCACACAATCAAAGCTGTTGAATATAGATTTTGTAGTTAGACTTAGAATTACTGAAAATAGAAATAGAATAATACAGCAAGGAAAGCATATGTGGAGTAGCATTGCTTCCTCTAATAAGTACAGAAAAATATAGGAAAAATTCCTTTCTTTCTTCTTATATGCCAGATATTTTCTCTATTGTCTTTAATTCTCTAAAGACATTCTTTAAATGTCTTTAACATTTATTTCGAAGTAAAAGATGGGAGTAATGTTGCCAAATCCATAATCAGTTTGAATTTAGTAGCTTCTGTGTTTCAAAATGCTCCCTAATCTGCAAATTTTGCTTACTTTTAAATTGTGATTACTTAATACACTTATATTTTTAGTGAGCTAAGAATGGCAGGACTAGAAATAGAAGTATATTGGCTTAAAACAGAAGAAAAAAAATTCCAAATTAGGAATTCTGTTTATCTCCATACAGAAACAGGCTTTGGGCTTTACCCATTTATGATGCCGGGAATCGCAAGCCATTATTTTGAATCCTTACTGTTACTTAAATATTTTCTGTGAAAAAAGAAAATATTTCTCTTTTCATATATTCACTTTTCATATATTCCACTGGGCAAATAAAGATCTGGCTTCCATGTGGATGGTTTCAGGACCTGCCTGCTCTTTAATATCACCCCTTCCTTTTGTTTTGTCATAATAATCACTCAACAACTTTAAGTAGCTCATATTTTTAAACTTCTAAATCTCCACTTGAAAATAAAAGACGTTAGTTCTCTCCACATTATTTTCCCATTTTGCCTGATTTCCCCTCCAAAAATGGACTCAGAAGTTAAGCAAAGCTATATGACTATAGCAGAACCGCATGTGACAAAAATGGTCACTTAGCATGACTGAGTCACTTAAATGTGACTTCTGAGAGTAGCAGTGCAGGGGACCTTATGATTGTAGAAATCTTGGCCTTTGATTTTTCCCTAGTTTTGAAGGTGTGTTCTAACTACTCCCTTTAGATGTATGTTATATTTGATACACAGAGAAAAACTTGTCAAGAATGTCAGTATTATTTGATGTCATTGATAACATTTTAGGAGGTAGAAATTCTGAAGGTAGAAACAGGCATTGGTTATTGGCTTATCTTTTAAATTGTGCCTGTCACACAACCCACGCTTGGGTGCAAAAAAGAAGAGCAAAAAGAGTTGCAGTTCTGGCAACAATGAATGCATTAGTTCTTCAGTGATCCCAATGACAGAGGTAAGTATCCCTTTAGTACCATGTACTGGCTGGATGTGCAGGTGCCAAGGGCTTGAGGAAGGTCACACAGCAGGGCAATGGAACTTCCAAGAAAGACATTTGAGATTCCCCACGTACTGGTACTGTTCCAGGCTTTAAGAGCTGCAGCCCTTGCTTTTTCTCTTGGTGATCTTCAATGCTTTAACTAGGGGATTCACCCACTTTGAACCCCAGTACAATTGTCCCCTACAATGCCTGACAAGGCAGGGTGCTTCTTCATCCTCCTTCTCCCAGATGGTCCATTTATCTGTTCAAGAGAGCCAATGAGGAATCCAAATGGCTGGCCTGCTTAATATCGTGGAGGCCCACTCATATCTCTCTTAGCACCTAATTCCTTCATATGCCTCTTTCTCCCAGTTACCCAATCCCTCTTCCACCTCCCTAATCCCTTCCCAATAGGGTACGTTTTTTTTTTTTCTCTTGCACTCTCTCTCACTCTCTCTTTTCTGTATCTCTCGGAAATCAGACAGGAGTTCAGAGCACTTTCACTACCTTTTATGAGGTAGATTGTGATGTCATAGATGGGGGCAGGGCTAGTCAACTTTCTACCCACCTCCCAACCTGTGCTGAGGGAGCTCCAGTCGGGAGTGGAAGCAGTGATTCCTCCATGGTGAGTAACTTTGCTTTCTAATCTAATCTGACTTATTGTAAACATTAACTTTGAAAGCAGGGGGATGGGGTTTCAAGGAAGTAAACATGTGACCACTCAAGCCCTCTTTATTTACTGTTAACCAACTTTGGGCAAAGGATCTACTTATTTATTCTTTATATGAGTCAAGAATTCCACCACACAGATACACTCTTCAAGCGTGATCTAAGCTGGAGAACTGAAAATGGTATTTTCATTTCTTTATCTCTGTCTTGCTTCCCATTGGGACTGAAAGTCGTTGCATATGTGGAATGAATCCATTTGGTAGTCCTTTGGTGAGCTTCTCCAAGGAAGGCTAGTTAGAATGTATTCTGCTTCATTTGAAAGATTTCAGGATCACAGAAGATCCTTTGTTGATGTTTGCCCAGAGAATCAGTCTGCTCTTCTAAAACTGTGGGGTAAAACTGTGAAGAAACTGATACATAACAATTATCAACAAACTTGGTTTTGATGTAAACAAAAACTTTCTAATGCAAAGAGGAAAATATTTACATAAAAGAGTCACCACTCTTGCCAGATTAAGGGTGCAACCATTTCAAGGTGTCACAAACAAATTTGCTACCTTCTTTTTGGTTGCATGTCATAACACTGATGCTGTTTTGTAGGATTTCTTGGTAGTTAAGAGCGGTGAAAAGCTGCTGTTCTTTGTTTCATTTGGGTTTCTATTATTACAGATTAATTCTTTTATACGCCTTTGTATTTAGAAAGACTGCAGTGAGCATTTTTCTCCACTTTCCTTGTTCTCTCCTGGGGACCTATTAAAACTATCAAGATGTTAGCTTTTATATAAAAGGGCAAAGAAAGTTCATGGAGGTGGTTAAATCTTTAAGGGATGTTGAAGCATCCAGGTGGGTGTTTTTAACGGGGTTTGACCATCACAATGTGAGGCTCTAAAAAAAATAAATAAAAAACAAAAGAATGTGAGGCCCTGTTAGTTTTCTTGGGTGGGATAAAAGCATCCTGGTGTGGATCATGGGTATTATGAAATATGTTAAAAGGGTATCATTCATTCTTTCAAAGTGTATATCCCTAGTTAACTGGCTGAGTATGGATATTGGTAATGGAGAATTGGGGGCAGTTTAAAAGGAGGAGTCCTTTCTCATCAACAGCTTTTCTGTTATGTGTAGATCTCCCCCACGCCCACCCCCACCTTATGCACTCTTACAGCTCAAAAGCACTAGAGCTGATACAGCCTTTTTTTTACCTGGGGTGGAATAGCGTGGTGACTTCTGAAGTTATTTTCCCACCTAAGCTTTCTAACTTAAAGAAGTGACTGTAACGGTAGAGATTTTAGGCACAATAAAGAAAAATAGAGCCCTAACTGGCCAATAGGAAGATTTAGGTGACAATCACCTGAAGTCAACTTAATATTGCAATGTGGGTAACAATGCCAAAGTCTTATATGTTGGATGATCCTTCTCAAGTCTCTGGCTTACCTTCCATTAGAAGTGCCAGACCCCTGAAACCCAGGTAGAAGCAAACCTTCAGTGCCAGAAAAATATGATGTCTAATCATAGCTCAAGTTTTTAATGTCTTTTGTCAACCCCTCATACAGCTGCCAGGTAAGAAATGCTCATATTTTATAAACACTTGGAATACAATCATCTTTAAACTTCGTGAGTTAAGAATGGTTGTGTTGTGCACTTGTGCAAATTAAGAGAGTCTACCATGGAATGCATTGTGCATGCACTTGTTTATCCTCATGTGCATGTTTCATTTATAGTGGTGTTCAGTGTTTTCTTATCCATTTTGTATGTATTAAACTTATAATTTAAAAATACATACATATATTGTGTTCTAAACGAAACAGTGAAGTATAACAAAAGTTGCATTAATTTGAGGTCTGAATACTGGTGTACTAGTCCTATTTCTGTCACTGATTAATTAGATAACTCAAATTACTTAGATCTCTTGAGCCTCAGTTTTCTCATCTGTAAAATATGATAGATGACCTAAAGGTTATATCCTAATGAATCTTTGCTCTAAAATTCTATAGTTTTATAATATATTTTCTGAGAAATGGTTTATGGGGAAAAGATTGAATAGTTGATGAGATATAGTTTTTGTATGAGACATACAATTGTTCAAACCAGAAAGAAAGTTTCAGTCCAAAGTAGGTTTTAAAATGTACCCTATATCTGATGTACTGTTATTTGGTTAATGATGTAAGTGAATCATGTTCTTTTAAATGGATGATATCAAGCCCATGATATAGTTAGCTATGTGTTTATTTAGAAGACTGATTTTTTTTTCAGCTCCATGATTTTATGTTATTCTGGTTGAGATAAAAAAAAAAATATTCTTATCTAAGTAATAGATGGAGCTAAGTTTCATTGAGACTCTACAATTCACAATTACCTATGCAGTATTGCAGGAATTCTCTCGTGGTGTTGGAAAGAGTTGATGAGTAGGGAATTGCTGGGTACTGAGCTATGTCCAATGGGGGATAAAAGACATAAAAGGCCTGGCTCCTACTCTTGAGGAATGTGCAACCTTTCTGGGAGTCTAGACACAGGCCAAGTGTCAACTTAGAGGTGAAGACAGTAAAAGTGTCAAAGAAGTAAGAAATCTGGTATGATCTGGGGTGGGCTGGACTGTGCTGGGAAGGCTTCTTTGTGAAGCTGAGGCCTTCAGCTAACTGTGAACAGAGTGCTTTAGATTTGTGTTGTTGTACATAAGGAGGGGAGAGGAGCATTTCAGGTCAGGAAGACCACAGATTTGTAAATATTGCAGAGGATATCTTAGATATGCCATGTATCAAAATCAAAAGTCGTCGTTTATAGTCCAGCCCCATACTTTTTCTGAGCCCCTTACCCCTTAATCATATGCTAAATTTACTATATATGATATACCTGTTTAGAAGAGTTGAGGAGGCTGCAAGCGAGTGAATTGCAATGATTATTTATAAAGATTTAATCAGGCGGCCATTTTCTCAGTTACACAAAAGGTCACATGGTCACTCACAGCCACAACTGTGGAAGAACAATAAATGAAAGGAAAGAACTAGGGGCAGGAGACTCTAGCTCTGAGACAATCTGGTTTTCTGACATAGGTGGAAAGGGATTATCATTTTGGATAATCAAAGGGATTATCATTGCTAGATTTAGAAATGTCAGATGGTCATGGAAATGCCCATAGGCTAATGAGAATCCATGTAACCAGGATGATTTTCCAAAAAGCAAACAGAGGTTTTGCTGTGCACTGAGCAGAAATCATGTCAGAGTCTGCTCTCAAACAGCCAGTGTTGCGAAGACAAACTCTAAGTAAACTGCACGTGATTATGGAGTCTCTTTCCCCGATACACTTGGAAAGAGGTTATTGATTTGGGCATGATTTACCCAGACTGACAAAGAAGCACACTTACGTTTGAAAGCCTCTCTGTTGCTGTAGATTCATAGATGATTTGCAGTGTATACTTTGCATCACTTGGCACTGTTTTCTGGTATTTCTTGCCATCCAAGTTCCTTCCAAATTATTATGTTGGCCTTTCTAACAGACCAGAATTCCATGAGTAGAACTGCTTTATCACTTATCCCACACTCTAAGGACTTGGTTTACATCATCAGTGAAATACTTCTTAATTTCCTATCATGACATAAAAAATAATTTCTATAATATGTTATCTCAGGAAATCACTTTCAAAAGCTAAACTCGTCTGTATGGTAATGAAGAAGTAGTATGATCAAAGTCAGTTTTACAAAGCAAGAAATGTTCTCTTAGAACTAATTACCCCCAAAAAAGTTCAAGTAGGGCTTCTTATGTAAAATTTCGTGGAACAATATAGATTATTAAAAGAAGTTAGAGATAGAATTATTTTTGTCCCAAAAGAACAATAACAAGGATGGCAACTGTTCCCCTCCGCCTCCCAAATGTCCCCAGAGGTAATTTTAGAAATAGAGCATCAGTTAGATTTATAATTCAACAAACATTTATTGAGTATATAACATATGATATTCACTGTCTTATGGATGGATATGGAATTAGCATGGAAAACAGACACAGTCGGTAACTGTGATACATTATAATAATCACTCTAACAGAAATATATACAAAGTGATATGGACATTCCTATAGAGAAGGGGAAGAGGACGCTTCATAAAGGGGGTAATATTTTTTTGAGGCTTCACAGATAAATGGATAGTTTTCCAGATAGAGGAGGAGAGAAAGGATTAGCCCAGGAGAGAAACAGAATGCCCAGAGTAGACTATTAAGGTATAGATGTATTATTCTGTGCTGACTGGACCTGAAAATGTCAGAGACAGATAGAAAGATGGAGAAAAGTAAAAGGTGAAGTTAGAAAGGTAGGTGGGGCCTGGATAGCAAAGACATTTTTCTGACCCATTCTGATTTTAGTGAGTGTTTATCAAAATGGTCAGAGGATCCTCTGCATGCCAAAGCCAGCAAGGGGTGGGAGGAGATGGTTAAAATGCAGAATCCTGGGCCATGCTGCAGACCTCTTGAATCAGGGAGTAGGAGTAGGTTCTTGGAATCTGTAATTAACTACCCCATCCCACCCCAACCACTGTGCACACCAGGTGATTCATCTTCACACCAAAGTTTCAGAATCTCCTCAAGGCACAAAACTGACTCATTATATTTCTATGTTCTTGGAAGAATTTTCAGAAAAAATGAATTAAAATATTAAGAATAGGAGATTTGGGAAAAATAGGATTTAGATGTAATATAAGAATGTTCTTGAGAAAATTGGTTTAAATCTTGGTTAAGCATAAGAAAGAACTTTCTAAGAATCTAAGTATAAAGAATTACTAAGTCATGCTATTAAATCTCCTTGAAGGAAAGGCATGAGACTAGAAACATTTAAGGGACCATCTTGCATCTTTCAGTGTCATGTTCCGATATAAGGAGTTAATGAAGTTCAGAGCTAGTTGTTCTACAGCTCCCAAATTGTGCCAAGATAAGGGATAGAGGCAACAGTCCGGAGCAGTATTTGTTTCTGGATG